TGATTGACCAGCTGTCCCCAACCCCATGGCTCCTGATACTGCACTGATTCAGGTTCCATGGCTTATACCTGAGCTCTGGCTGCAGCTATTGCCAGAGATCCCAGCCCCTCGGTCCATGGATCCGCAGCTCCCCCTAGTGACAAGCTGTGTAGTCACAGGCTGTACCTCTCCTGGCTGTTGAGGCTGTGGGCTCTCAAAATCAGGCACCTGTTGAGGACTAGAAAACATCAGAGTTTTCCGCTGTACCCGTTGCTTACCAAAACCTCAAATTTTGCCTGTGGTAATGAGAGATACATTCAAGGAACTTCATTTTTCAAAAATAAAGAAACAAAAAAGCAAAGAACCCAGAACCAAAGGAAGCCACAACAGAATAAATTTAAGACTTAACACAGTGTTTCAGGAAGACATACACCAGTCATTAGATGTCAGCTGCCCTTGGAAGGGGCTAGGCTTGTGGAAAACAATCTTTGGTCATAGGAAATTACTAGAAGGCCTGACTTCAGATGCCATCAGACGAGAAGTTTCTGAGCAGTTTGAAAAACAAACCAGTCTAAGGAAGAAAAGGCAAATAAAGGCAGATTGTTAGAATTACTGTTACAGACAGCTAGCTTGCCTTTGCAGAAATGTAAATATTAAAACTTTATGTTGTAATCCCCACTTGCCTATTTGACCATTTGAGTATCCTCAGCTCACATATATCTTGTTCTCATTTTCTCTGGGTTTCTTTATGAATATCGCCTTCCTTCTGGAGCATCCAATCTACTGCTACTAACAGCCAGCTATTTCTCAGAGCAGACACACCGTTTTACTTCTAGAAGTTTGACTGGGAGCTGTGCATGTCTCCCTCAGCTCTGCCAACCAGTCAAGGCATGTGTTGCAGCTTCACTGTTAAATGCCATTGTTAGCCAATTTGTCGGAAATAAGTTGGTTTCTCATGACTGATCTTCCCTCCAGTGATGAGTCCTATTTTCTTCCTTCTTTGCGAAACTGCGTCCTTATCTTAGGTGCCAAACTGCACATTCCACATCTGACGGGGTTAGATACAGTGTTTTCCTCACACCCACAGCTTTATTCTTCAATATGCTTATTCCCTGAAAAACAAAAACCAGGGACATTCCTACCAGAGATCATTGTTGTTCGTTTTAGGCTCCAGCAAAGGTATCTAAAACACATAGAGATGGACACAACTTAAAAATCCATAAATTGATGGGTAGGTGGTAAAATGTAAAAATTTCATACAATGAAATACTGAAATAAGTCAGGTTCTTATCCACATTAAAATGTATCACATATTATGTAAAGTGGAAGAAATCAAACACAAATAGAAGAAATATAATTCTAAGCCTAGACTTTCTAAAATAGTCAAGATCAGGGCACAAAAGGAAAAATAGTTACTGTTTAACAGATATAGAGATGAAAATTGGGGGGGGGGATAGTAATGATGGTTTGACATCACAATGGGTATCCATAAAATACTTATCTATAGTGAAACAGAGATGCAGTTCAGGAAATGACGGTCCAGTATGCTTCCTTGGTTTCTGCTTCTTCTGACCTAAAGGTGCTTGGGGAAAACAGTGTGAAAAAAATCTTTCTCCTAATTTCTCCTGGTAGACATAACACAGATTCTCTGAAAGAAGCATGGGAGCCTCTCTCTGGGAGTTTAGCCAACCGGGCAGGATTATGTTATCACAGGAAGAGACTCTGGAGGCCCATACCACACCAGACAGACTTCCCAGTGTCTATCATCCATTCTCCTAAGGACACTGTCAGTTTTCCTCCAAATATTTATTCTTCCCCAGCCTTCCTGCATCTGCATCACCTACACATCAGCCTGTGAAGAGGGAATAGAAGTTTCTAGATGCCTGTAGGTATTTAAATATTCATGTCCTCTCATTCCATATCCTTAGGCATGCCATTAACTTGCATGCGTTTTTGCTTATTAATCAGTGAATTTATTTCCAAGGCACAATGCAGAGAGTAAACAAATATCCTTACTTAATCATCAAAGTTAACTTAGTTGTTACTATGAATATCATTTCAATCATAAATATTGCAAAGGAAAGAAATACTATCTTCAAAATAGCAAAGAAAAAAATAAATATTAATAACTGAATTCTATATGGATGTACTTAAGGGAAAAGAACCCAAGTAATTCAAATGCACTGGTAACTAAGGAAATGGTGTTTGTTAGCGAGCATCCCATGGAATGTTTTCTGATGTGGCTGTAATTTTTTTTCTGTAGTTTAACACAGTTCCTAGTAGTTCACACCTCCATACACATTCTACTTTATGATTCTTTAGAAATCAAACTGGTAAGTTTTAATTCAAGACTCATCACTTCAGCTGCTGATGGGTTGTTGATAAGTGACAATGAAAAATGTTAATGTTTTTTGTAATTCCTTTTTATTCCTTTGTGACCTGATAGCATATACAAAATATTACTGTATATATATTAGGTAGTCTACTTTATTAATAAAAATCAACGAAATGATTACTAGTGGGATTCTGCTATACTCATAAATGGGAGCCTTGTGCAGTAATCTCACAGAAGCTTCCTCAGGGAGTAGATGGGAATGGGTGCAGACCCACAGCCAGAAATTATTTGGAGAGTCTACACTGGAGTTTTCCATAGGGTCCCTCCCACTTGAGATCTGGGATCTGTGCAAAAGGGTGAGAGGGAACTGAAGAAGTCAGTGAGATAGCCAACACCAGGAGAACATATCCCACCAATCAACTAAGCGGGACTCATACGGGCTCACGGAGATTGAAATGGCAAGCAAAGGGCCTGCATGGATCACTAGGTACCCTGTGAGTATCTACTAGGTTTGGGATTTTTATGTAGTACTCCTAACAGTGGGAGTGGGTATATCTCTGACTCTTTAGTCTGCTATTGAGACTCTTTTACTCCTATTACAGTGCTTTGTCCAACCTCAATATGAGGACTTTGTCTTGTCTCTTCTTCTTCTTCTTCTTCTTCTTCTTCTTCTTCTTCTTCTTCTTCTTCTTCTTCTTCTTCTCCTCCTTCTCCTCCTTCTCCTTCTCCTCCTCCTCTTCCTCCTTCTTCTTCTTCTTCTTCCTCCACCTCCTCTTCCTCCTCCTCATTCTCCCCTTCCTCTTCCTTCCCCATTTCCTTCTGCTTCTTCTCTAATACAGTACCTTCAACTGCAGCTTCCCCTCCCTCCACTCCTCATTGTTTTATGCTATTTGGCTGTTTTCTCTTGGAAGCTGGCTCTGAAATGGAGAGGGAGTGGATCTGGGAGGGGGAGCTAGGCGGAGTGAAGGGAGGGGTAACTGTGTTGGGGATGTACTATACGAAAGAAAAATCTATTTTCAATAAAAATAAATAAATAATATGTACTTTTTTATTTTGAATAATTATATTAGACCAGGTTTGCAATATTACAAAGCAAAATAGTGCTTATTCAGTTTAAGCAAGAAACATTCCCCAAAGATTCATGTATTAAAGGCTTATTTGTCTACACAATGTTCAACGGAAGAGATTTGAGGAAAATTAGAAAATAAAGGCTTTAATTTCAACACTGACTAATCTATTGATAGATTTATAATGGAAAGCAGAAAGAAAGAAGGAGGATGTAGGTCATCAGAGGAATGCAGTTAAAAGATCTCTCTCATGCACACCCTCTCTCTCCTCCCCCTCTTCTTCCTCTCCCTCTCCTTTTCTATCTTTTTCTCTTCTCTTCTTTTCTTCTTCTCTTCTCCTCTATTCTCTTTTCTTCTCTTCTTTATTTTCCTTCTTGACTGTCAAGAGATAGGCACACAACTCTGCTATTTTCCTCCTGACAGTCTGTTCTGCCATAACACAGGATCCCAAAACACAGGTCCAATCGATCATAGACCAAAACTTTGAAGTACTGAGGTAAAATACACCTTCTTCTTTTAGCATTTTAGACCTGTCATGAGACCAGAAAAATGACTATGACATGAATATCCAACTCAATGCTGATCCAAGCTCAGTTTTATTGCATAAGTGACTTTCTGCAATTGTCGACCCAATCACCACCCACAGAGGCAAGTTAATCTGTTCTTTTTATTTGTAAATTTATCAAGATATAAAAAGAGTAATAGGTCTTGAAACCTGGCATGATAATCCTCCAGCTTTTTTTCTTCTTGCAATTAAGGACTGCAGAGAGAGGGGACTTAGTCTTCTTAAGGGACTGAGTCCCCTACGTTGTTATCCAGTCATAACCAGGTATCCCTAAAAGTGTAAAGGTAAGTAACAATAAATAGACTCAACAGGTTGAATTTATTTTTTATTCATATCATATACAAAAAAACACAAACAAATATAATATTAATTAAAATATGCATTAATGAATTTGAAAGAGGGGAATCATGTGAGGAGTTAAAAGAAGAAGTAAGGGAAGAAATAATATAATTAACTTAAAACCTTTAAAGGGTAAAAGAAAAATGATCCAACCTTAAATACATTTTCCTGATATCCAGAAGAGGTAAAGGCATGTCTTTATTGTAGAAGAAATGTCCTAGGAAAATATCTCCAGAGTTGAAAACAGCACAACATATATGAAAAAGTAACGGAATGTAGAAAACAAAGGAAAGAACCAGGGAGGCTGGGTCAAGACTGATGATAGAGATGAGTGAAGAAATGGCATCGGACCTTATGGGCTATTGTCTTATAGAACAAAGGGACTACTGACCTGTAGAGTAAACACAGCCTGGAAAGAGCATGTAAGTGACTCCGTTGCATAGTAAAGTGACTGAGGAGCTCACCAAGGCTGCAGGGAAGAAAATAATGGCTGTGAAAGTATCAAAGGAGTCACTGTGGCTTCAATTAAAGACTCAGCTTCCTCTCTGAAAGGAGAAATAAGGAGTGGGAATGAGCCAAGCAGCCATGAAAAGCTGTCAGAGTGGACTTCAGTGAGGCTGAGACCCATGCTGAAATGTACCTAGTTTGTCAGAGCCCAGTGACTCTTACAGAGACAGGGACTTCCTGGGGCACATAGTCAACTTGACTTCCTAGTTTACTTTCTGTGCAGAGGGGAGGCAGCCACACACTGATGTGTATCACTGCTGGCACAGAAGTACACAGATGTCTGAGAAGGGGAAGTCTTCTCCAGAATGAGAGAGAAGTCTTCTGTCCTTGGTCTGATGACCTTGTACCCATCAGGGACATCTCCTTTCTCGATGCTGCCATCACGATATGAGTAATAGATCAGCCTCAGTCCATGACCCAGGTCCTGCCGATACCAGTACATATAATTGTGGTTATCAGTCTGGTTACAGCTTAGTTCCACCTTTCCTCCTGTTATTGTCACCTTGTTTCTTGGATTTTGGGTGATGGCAGCCTCCATGTGTTCTGTAATAGAGGAAGACAGAGCCTGATGATGTCATGTTACCTAAAAGACTTTTGAAATCTGTTGAGGACAGCACACCTGTGATCTGTCCAGCACTCACTTGCACACAGGAGACTTAAGGTCACACAGAAGAGCCTGAAGTTCATCTCAGGACCAAGGCAAGATCTGATGTCTTCCAGCCCTGTTTCTGGAAACTAGAGCTAAGGCTCTCGGTGGCTTAGTGATGTCACTGTCTCCAACAAATGCTTCAACTGCACAGTTAAGATGCCACACCCCTTTCCTACAGTAACAAGTTGATTTTAAAGCAGAGTCTCCTAATTACTTTATGCAACAATATTTATAATGGATATACAAATATTACTAACAGAAGTCAGGAAGAATTTGCTGTTTGTTTTTTCTTTCTAGATGCATGTGCTCTTTCTCTGATTTTAGTCAGGGTTGGGGTAAGGATTATTAAAAATGTAAACCAAATCTTGAACCTATGACAATACAAACTTTATCTGGCTTAATATTACTCATGTATGACCTGCAGCCTCTCCCCAGACATACGCACTAACTCCAGCTAGTTTTATAACATGAGAAACAGTGAGCTGTTACATTTTTGACCCAAAATGGGAAGCACCAAGGAAATTAAGAACTTTGAGTTAGAAATCAAGGAGCTGCAAATTTTAAGCCTTGTGTTGATATTCTCAAACATAAAATATTGGGAATTTTATAAGCTATTGATTCCTATTGATGTATAGAACACTTTATCTACAAAATGCATATGTTAATGTCTACACTTGTCTCAAAATACACTGGTTATGACCACACCCAAGCACAGAGTAGGGTTTCCTACCACTGTCTGGGAACTGGAAGGGACTTGTAGGGATGTGAAAATACCTGGAGTCTTGGGACCCACCCCAGTTTTAAGACCACTCTGTATGGGATCAGGTAAGTAGTGAGGGGATTAATAAAGATCTAGAAGCAATTCTGGGCCCTGGCTAAGGTTGTGTATCATCTCTGCCCCTCTCTAGTATGAAACTAGCAAGAGCAGGAAGATTAAGGGACAGAACGCCTGTCACTCTGTGAGGCTGTAGTGAGCTGGCACAGAAGTACACAGCTGAGTCCTCCAGCTGCAAGGCGCTCATGTTCATCTCAGAGTGAAAGTCACTGAACTGCTGGACTGAGAATCGGTTGGGGATGTTTCCTTTCTCTCCCTTCACTTTTTCATAATGCCGAATGAGGAACTTCAATTCCTGGCCCAGAGTTTGTTGATACCAGAACACAGTGTCATGTCCAGAGATGGGAATACATTTAATGACCTTCCTCCCTTTGCTTTGATTATGTATCTTGGGGACTGGATGACCCCAGGACTTGCTGAACCTGGGGAGGCAGGAGACAGGAGTGAGCATCTAGAGAAAGAGTACACAGATGCAGCAGCAGTAGAGGAGCTCAGGAGCAGTCCCCCCAGAGCTCAGGACTCACTTGTTCCCAGGAGAAAGACAGTGACACAGCAGAGCAGGCTGGGGCCCCAGGCAGAGCCAGGGAGGGCAGTGCCCCACATCCTTCTCCTCAGCATGCTGCTCTCCCTGGTGAGAGCAGGAGTCAGCTCCTCCTTTCAGCTCATTGCCTGTGATGTCAGGTTCTGAGGTCAGTGATTTCATTGGCTCCCATAGGCCCTCTGTACCCTTGGGCATAATCTGCTGGTTTAGTTCTTTTCCCGTTCTTTCCCCATTTGGCTCAGCCTGCATAGTGGAATGGGGGTTTTGACTGTGCTGAGGAAAAAATGTCTGGGTGTAGGAAACTCCATTTCTTCCTTTCTCTGAGGCAGTTGTTTCCTTCTCTTTTCCTAGCTCTAGGTGTTTTGGATTGTGAAGACTGTAGGTCGCTTCCTGTGATGATTCTCTGTGAGCAAAGATGATTGATTACCTGACCCTCACCCTGTACCTACTTAGCCTGCACTGTTTCTGCTTCCACAGCTAACACCCTACTTGGACTCCATATTACACCTCTGCATCCACCTTCTAAAGCACTGTTCACAGCTCACTTGGTGGATCTGCCGTGCCCTCTAGTGACCTGGTGCATAGTCATTGAGTTGTACCTCTACTGGTTGTGGGGGACGCTGGGAGCTCCCAAAATCAGGAGTCAGGGTTAGGCTAGAAAACATAACGAGTTGGAGAGTAGTTGCAGTTTCAATTTACCCACGGAAATACCAAGTTTTATCTGAGCCAGTGAGGGAATTCATTCAAAAAAGAATAAATTCTAAGTCATACCACACTGTAGACATTCATTAGTCATTAGATGCCAGGTGAACTTGGAAGGCGTGACCTGGGCAAAATACTCTTTAGTTCAGAGGAAATTTTAAGAAGGGCTGACTGGAGAGGCTATCAGAGGAGGAACCTAGTGAGCACTTGGGAAAATAGACCAATCCAAGGAAGAGAAAGCTGAGAAGGGTAGAATGTTGGAATTGTTGTTGTAGACATCTAGCTAGTCTTTAAAGAAGTTTTAATGGAATTCCCAGCTACACCTTTCACCATTTGAGGTTATACTCAGCTTACTTACACCTTATGCTTATTCTCTTTGTGTTTCTTAAGAATATTATCTTCACATTTATCAACCCTTTTTTCTGGAACACTCAATCTCCTGGTAATTACAGTCAACTGTTTCTCATCACAGACACTGCCAACTTTTACTTTGGTCTTTGCACGCCTCCCTCATCTCTATAAACTGGTTAAGGTATTGCTGCAATTACACTGTTTAATATCAATGTCATCCAATTTGTCAGAAATTGTTTGGTTTCTAGTGACTGATTTCTTTCCTAGTGATTAGTCCCATTTTATCCCCGCTTTGCAAAGCTATAACCTCTTATTGGATGCCAAACTGTATATTTGATGTTTAAGGATGCTACTTCTTATTACACTCATAGATTTATTATATAATTTCTTACATCACCGAGAAACAAAAATCAAGGAAATTCCCAACAGATAGTTACTGCTCCCTGCAGATACAAAGATATAAGAATATATATGAAATATTGTCATATTTGTGATGTATATATAAACATTTTTGTAAATATAAGATACATGAAAAATTCTGTCTAGAGTGATTAATAAGCTATGATTTTAAAAAAGTTTGGGAAAGTAGAATAACAGATAAAAGGTCTATTATAATATTGAAATAAATGAAACAGTGTATACTTGAAGGATCTGGCGACAGAGCAATATAACAGAATATAGACCCAGAAAAATTATCAAAGCATATGAAACTATTGCCTTATGATAAATGTGATTTTCTTCACCAGTGAAGTAAGTAAATGTTATCCCTTAGCAAACACCACAGGATAAATTGCATAACTATGTAGAAAATTATACAGTGACCTTTCTTATATAGAGAGAGTAATTGTAGCTGCATTGCAAATTAAAATGTAGAAGTGTGGAATTTTATAAAAAGGTATATATGAAAGAATGATTGCTTTGTATAGCAGATAAAAATATACAATAAAAACTAAAAAAGGAACAATTTAATAACTTTGAATTAAGAACTTTTGTTCATCAAAACATACCCTGTTAACTAGGCAGTGTTGACACATACCTTTAATCCCAGCACTCAGGAGGCAGAGGCAGATGAATCTATGTGAGTTTGAGGTCATTCTGGTCTACACAGTGAGTTACAGAACAGCCAGAACTGCATAAAGAAGCCTGTTTTGAAAGTCATATATATGTGTATTGTACATAAATATGGAAATCAACTCAGTATATATACATCATCAGAAGTCATTTTAAAAATGCTTAAGGAGATGGAAATATTAACTTATTTGATCATTACACCATATATGAGTGTGTGTACTGTATTTCATAAATATATGTAATTAAAATACTAATGTTTAAAAATGAAGTTTAGTTTATTGTCTCAATGACAGGCTTGTAATCCAAGTGCTCAGGTGGCAAACTCAAACAAATCTAGCCTACTAGAACATCCAGGTTTCATTGAAGAGACCTTGTCTTAGAAAAAAATAGCACCAAAGAAATAATAAGGCTGATCTTTGGCTTCCACAAATACACAGACAGACAGACAGACAGACAGACAGACACAAGCACACACACTCACACACACACACATACACATATTACCACAAACATATACATACACACAATAACACACATGCATATTCAGACCAACATAGAAGAACACACACACACACAAACACATACACAACAAAAAGATGAACAACTGGAAGGAGAAAGAGAGCACCAGTGTCTGATGAAAGTTCCCATGCCTCAGGGGAGCCTGGGGACTGATGGAACTACTTCAGAACTTCTATTTGGGTCATCTTGAATTTGTTGTTTTTAACAGCTTTCCAAGTGTGGTTGTATTTTATGAAATCAAATAAATTCGACTTTCTGTTTTTCTACATTAAAGAAATCTATTTATTTACACATAACTCAGAGTTTTACAAACATGTTTGGCTGAAGAATCCTTTAAATTAATCAAAACTATTAACATTTTGCATTGACCATATGTTGAAAATTTCACCATATATCCTTAGAGATGGAGGAGGAGACTAAAATGCCAATGGAAGATTTAAGAGAAAAACATAAAAGGATCCTAATAGAGCTTTCTCAGTCTCTTTAGAATGGGTGGGATGCTTACTTTTTATTTATTATTATCCTCATTCATACAATTACAATTTCCAAAGGTCAGCCATGATTATTATCCTAATAAATGTCTCAACAATCTATGAGATATAACAATTGCTCTTTATATACATGAGAAAATGAGGCTTACTGCATTAAGTGACTTGTGGATCACAAATTGATAAAAGATGGAGGCAGTACCTTAACATAGGTGCTATTAGTTGGTACAAAAGTGCTATTGCGTGCAGTAATTTTATTAACATGGTTGCATTGAAAGTAAAGATATTGGAAAGTGTCCTACATGACTTAAGTCTAAAACTTTTTAAATCAAAGGTAATGAAAACAATGATATTAAGACTTTAATAGGCTCTTACCTTAATTTAATGATAGTAGGAAACATTTCTGGCAAATAACAGCCATCATTCATCTCTATGTCTGAAATGCAAAAACAGATACAAACAGGTTAATTTGTATTTGTTGAGGAGAGACAAATTAAAGAAAACATCTTACTTTATGATAAGAGTCTTTAG